CTTATCTTGATAGTATTTATTACTTAACAAGAATTAAAATCTAACTTGGCTGAAATCCTTTAATTCTATTGTTTGTGTAAACACAATTTACTGCTAAGCACAAGTATAATACTTCATCGATTATTAAAAATAAGTATTCGATTTTTGAATGTGTACCTTTGAAATAGATGCTTCAACATTTTCACAATTCCATTTCTCGATAATTAACGAATCATCTGATAATGGAACAATATCTATGGATTCCTCAAACCTAGCAGGTGTATCGTCGCAAGTTTCTAGATCCTCTTCAAAATACACAGTAGACTGGGTCTGACAACTGATTTTACCTGGCAAATGTCCATTAGCACTCACAATTATCTCTTCATTGACAGTCTATAAAAAATAGATAGAAATCTTATAAATACAGTAGTATAATTGACTTCAATTCAAAGATTTATCTTTTATTGCTGCACTGGATTACACTAAAACTTTTTTGCTTTCACCAAACTTTACATATATCTATTTTACATTAAGTATACATCAGTTCAGTTACAAAAAAAACAAACAAACATCTCTCTCAAAGCTATTTAATTCTTTACCAGACTTTCCCTGATACTTTCATTTAACGGAGATGCGCATTTTAGTTCATTCTCCATAAAATTAAACTTGGTGATTATTCCTTGGGATACCACTTCCCCACTATATGGCTCGCTGGTGACCGACATTCCCAAGGATAATTCAATTCGACTAGTGTTGTTGAACAATCATGGTTGATATCTATAAAAATACACAAAGATTAACAAAAAAAAAATTAAACGTGTTAATTAAAAATATATTTAAATATTTTTAGTTAAATGTTAATATGTATATTGTACACATACACACACACACACACACACACACACACACACACACACACACACACACACACACACACACGCGCGCACGCACGCACGCATATGCATATATATTTAATCTTTACAAAATTTATGTATTTATAACTGTATATATTAATATGTATATTTATAACTGTATATTAATATAAATAATAAATCCTATTGTGATAAATGTTTAATTATTTAAATTAATTTAATATATATTAAATATATGATTAATTAAAAGAAGTATATTCAACCGTTTTAAATATTAATTTAGACAGGTTTATTCGTGTTGTTTAAAATCCCCGAAAATTTTTGCATTTAAATATATATTATAATTAAAAGAAAACAAAGACGCCACATACAATAAACGTACACAGAGTATATCTTGAAACAAAATTAAAATTACAAAAGTGGGCAAATCACTAAAACATTTATAATTTCATTGGTTAATATTTAATGAATTTATCCACTTTTATAATTTTCATCTTACTTCAAAGTACATAACTGAGCTCAAGATAGTCAACCTCTAGCTCCAATCCTATTAACATGTATGTGCATGAATATTCACACACACACACACACACACACACACACACACACACACACACACACACACACACACACACACACACACAAATATACATGTTTGTATATTTATTGTATAATACATAACATACTGTTTGTATCACATACTTCAAATATTAATAAGTTCATGTATGGTGTAATCTATTTTAATATACAATGTATATAATTTCTACAAGTGGAGTTTGCCAATGCGTAAATTAGCGTTATTAAATCCTAATTACTGGTAAACAACGTCGTTATCATTGAGGAAAACAGTTGTTTACATTTCTTTATGTTTCTTATTCTAAATAAAAGTAAATTCACGGAACCGCAATCGTCGCCCCCAAGAAAGGTACCATTGTAATCCTAAGTGAGTTGCGTAAACCGTATTGCTTGGAGGTTATGCTCGTCTTGCGATCGCGAGTCAGGACGAGAAGATAAGGCGAGATAGCCGGAGTGCATACTTGCTCGTGTACATAAATACGCGCACGACGGGCGCTTTTGTTTTTCCCTTTTGAGAGAAGTGTGTCGCATCGGCATTCAACATTCAGGCTTGCGACAACAAACGACATAACATCGCATAGCACAGAACACAACGGGACTCTGTACGTCTGAAATTTAACCTGGACCGCCTGGACCTAGACTGGACTTGAAGTCCTACGTGCTCGCTACTGCATACAGACTGTAGTTCACCGCAATTCACTGTTGTCATCAATTGCAAGCAGTGCAGGACTAACAGCCAACCAGCAAGGCGATATTGTTTACGCCTGCAATGTCCGCAATAACTTTATTTTTCTTGTCCAATAATTATTTTTGAACAGACTTGCTAACAGTCCTGGAAGTCGATTGTGTATCTCGAAATTTAGCATTTTCGGCCCGATCAAGTTTGCATCAACTTGGGTCAGAAAATGGTTCGCTATTGGTTAACGTTACACGCTCTACCAATAGGAGACCACATCATTACTTCAACCCAGGGAATCGATTGAATATCTCGAAATGAAGTGAAAATTACAAAAGCGAGCAAATTTACTAGAATATTCACAATTTAATTGGTTAATATTATTTAGTGAATTTGCTCATTTTTGTAATTTTCACTTCATTTTAAGATATTCAGGGTATGGTCAACGCGATTTTGCAAATGCTTTGAAGAGTTTTTTAATTGGTCAGTTTGTAAAATTTTTCCAATTGACCAATCAAAAACTTCGAAGCATTTGTAACGTCAAGTGGACCGTACTTTAAGTGCATTTATATGCAAGCGCCAAGCGTCAAATAGTAACCAATTAGCTGGGCGATACGGGCAGTGGTGTGAAATAATATATTTTTTAAACACTGTCAATATCGCCTCGTTGATTGGTTGCTGCTTCCGCTGCTTGATGCTTGATAAATAGTCATAAAGGTGATGTCCCATGCAGCGGATCGTGCGTAAATGGATTTGCGTATCGCTAATCACAGAATCATTGAATCTGTTTGTAAATTTCGCAAGCAGATCCAATGATTCTGTGATTGGCGATACGCGAGTCCTCTGCATGGGACATCACCCTAAACGTTGTAAGTGATTGTAATTGAAAGAGTTGACAATCAAGTTGAATGTGAGGAGAATATTTGACTGTGATTGTAATTCTTCGACTATTGTAGAATAGGTATTGTAAAATAGTTTAATGCATCTTTATTTGAGATTGATTGTTTCACTTTTTGGTAAATTCTATTTGTGAAGTAAATCTGATAATCCGCACATGTGATTGAGGTATGTGATTGCGGTTGTTCCACCTTTTGGTAAATTTTCTGTTGGATAAGTAGCAAGATTACCCAATTACATGCGATTGCCAGATTTACCTAATAGGTAAAATTTACCAATAGGTAAAATTTACCAAAAGGTGAAACAACTGGCCTTGAAATATTTTGCTATTTACCCAACAGATAAAATTTATCAAAAGGAACAATCGGCCCTTGATGCAGACAGCGTTGCCAGAAAGTTGATTAACTGTACTCAGCAGAGAAAGCAACTTTAGGTCTGTTCGCGTTACATAAAATCCCAAAATATTTTTGCATTTAAAATGAGATAGATATATATTTGGCTTTGAAAGAAAGAAAGCGAAGAGGCCGAGTGCAAGCAATGCGAACAGATCTTTTGCAACTGTATAAAATCCTTAAATATAATTTATACATTTAGATCGCACTCATAGGCCGGAATTCATAGTCAGATTTTATATTCAAGACCATCTTAAATACGGTTAAGAAGAAATACGGTCGTGAACCAATCAGAAGGCTGCATTAGCAGCTTAAGACATTACTTAAGGATCTGAGCAAAAAATTATCATAACGTTTACTTAAAGATTTAAGTTGTAGATGTATGATTTATTGCCATCTCTTGAAAACATGACAATAAGTTGTACGTCTTACATTTAAGTCTAAATAAGTGTTACGACAATTCTTGTAATCAGACTCTAAGACGGCTTGAAATAAGATTCGACTATGAATACTGATCATAAAGTTTGTTCGCGTCTTATACTTGACCAATCAGAAGAAAGAATTTTACGAATTGACTAATCAAAGAACGTGCTAAAAAATTTGCAGTGACCTGCACTCAAATCCCTAGGATTAAAATAAAATCTCTATTTCGAAATCTGGTCATTTTTTATTCTTCCTGGATTTAGTTGATACAAAGTGCTTGCGTTGCGCATCCTGTGGCAATGTGAAGACTGGAGCACAGTACATACTGTAGCGCAATTCTGTCGGCACCTTTGATGTTAGTGTTTCCCAAAATGGAGTGCACGCGAAATAAGTAAGTTTCCCAGTAGCACCATCTGAATTTCTTTCTTAGTTGCTCTTTATTTTTTCGCTCTCTCTCTCTCTCTCTCTCTCTCTCTCTCTCTCTCTCTCTCTCTCTTTTTCTTTCTACGTTGTTTGTACATCAAAGTTTAATCTAAATGTAATAAAACTAAAAGAAATAGATTTATAATTGTAATGCATTGCAAAATAAAAAAATCTAAAAATAAGATATAAAATTATATAAATTATATAAATATGTTATATGATACAAATATTATACTGTAAAAATATTTTAATTAACGACTGCAGCACACGATGCTTGTTTTTTTGCTAAATCGCTTGCGTTTTAGTAAATTATTAGAATTGCATCATCTAAAACGCATATTTTCTAGCTAAAACGAAAGCAATCCAGTTGGAAAACAAACAACGTATTTAATCGTTAAAGAAGTATTAAATGGCCCTTGAAAGAAAGAATGGAAAAAGAAAGAAGTAAGATAAAAGTTTAGATGACATTACTGGGCATTTACTTATTTCGCGCATGCGCACTCCATTTTGGGAAATAAAATCAAGAGAGTTGCGCTTATATATATTGTGACTGGAATTAATAATGGCTGCCGTTCAGAGACAACAGCTTTGCAATTCTTGTAAAATTCTTGAATATGATTGGTTTATACATTTAGATCCAATGAGGAACTAAGGGCAAGACCAATCATATTAAAGAATTTTACAACAGTTGTAAAGCTGCTTTCTCTGCCGAACGCAGCCAATGTACCGTGGAATTGTGAGGTTCGACTGAAGGTAAGAGATCGACATTTTTATTTGTTATATTTTTTATGTATTGTTACTTTGTTATATTTTTTATGTATTGTTAAATTCAAATTGTTCGAATTTTAGTGTTTAGCTAAATTCTTCTTATATTGCATTTTGAAGAACGTCGAAATAGGCATAACCTTAATGCTTGCTATAATTGATGTAACATGATTGATTCTGTGGCATTCCAATGTCACAGAATGTTTGATTTTCGATTGTTGAATGAAAGTTCAAATTAAAGGGAAAATGCTAATTCCATTTGAATAGAAGGCTCTCTTTCGAATTTTCAGAAACACGCCTGTGATATTCGTAGTGCATCATATTATAAATTATTCTTGGTAAAGACGTGATTTTCCATTATTTGCAAAATGAAATCGAGGATTATTATCCTGGGCCTGTTTATGCTCTTTGTTTTGGTGTCCATGTCGGATACTAAAGAGCAAAAAAAGAAATCATGGAAAGACAAGGACATGATGTTCATGACGGACGCTGATGCAGAGCGTTTGCTGGAACAGTGGGAAGTATGGCCATTACGTTGTATTTTTAGATAAAACAAAATTCGTTCTTTGTCTTTGTGTAACTGTTATATCAATAAGACGAAAGCAATGCGAACGAATTTTTTGATTAATGTGATATCTTAGGCAAATGATGAACCCCTGGAGCCAGATGAGTTGCCGGAACATTTGCGACCTGCTCCGAAGTTAGATATATCCAAGGTAATATATCATTTTACATGAAAATTTGGAACCATCGTTTAATCCTTTTGGAATAATCCTTTGGATAACTTTAAAGGCACTGTTGATTTTTTTGCTATAAATTTTGTTAAATTTAAATCTGTAAAAAATGAGTAAAATATAATCCAACTTCTATCATCAGAAAAACTCATTGTTAAAGTTTTGACAAATATGCAAGAATTTTTTATTTTTAAAATTGGTACAATAAAAAATTTGTTTCTCGAAGACCTCTATTGCTGATGAAAAATTAAAATTCATGTTGTTAGCAGAAGATTAAGGATATGCAAATATACAAATTCATTTATTTTTAACTATCCATTGCAGCTAGACATAAAAAATCCAGAGAGTATGCTAAAAGCAACGAAGAAAGGAAAAGGCGTTATGATGTTCATAGATCTTCAGTCAAATGTTTCAGAGGAGCAAGCAGATGTTATGACTCGTATCTGGCAGACTGGCCTACAAAATAATCATATCACTATGGAAAGGTACAGCATTGTTGCATCCAAGATATGCTCAGGCACTTTGAAAGCATTCCAAGATAGAAGATTAGTTAAATTATTTGAAATGTTTGTTGTGCAGATATCCAATTGAAAATAAACGTTTCATATTCATGTTCCACGATGGAGCTCAGGCTATCGAGGGTAAAAATTATTTGCTACAGCAACCTGAAGTAGCTCATGTCACAATCGATGGACAGTCATATTATCCATCATTAAAGGAGGTAACATATTGATGAAATCTGGGTATTTATAAACTTTCTTGAGTGAGAAATAAAAGAAACAAATATTTGTCTCTTTCCAGGGGGAAAACATTATAATTGACGAGTTGATGAAAAAGCCAAGTGCCAAGAAATCGAAAAAAGAGTTGTAATCTCGCGATTAATTTTTGAAACATTTTCTATTTGTCTATTTTTATACAAAAAGTATACTTTCGAGAAATATTTTTTTCTACTTTGTTTACAGAAACCAAATTATTTCTATCAAGCGTTAAGTTTACATTGTGTGTTTATTAGATTATTTGTATAATAAATAAAATATCATACATATTATACTATCTACATTCAAGAATGTATATTTTTTTAATAACGTAAGATAAATTCTGTGGAGAGTGTGGGAGGGCAACAATAGCGTCATACTTGTTCACTTGGTTATGTTAGTCTTGCTGGTGGAAGACTCCAATTGTCCATCATTCATCGCCTTAACTTCTCGTTGAAGTTCTTTCACCACTGTCGCAAGGGCATGTGGATTCACTCCGTTTTCACATAGCCTGATACAGATACTCAAAGTGGTCGGATCAAGATTCGTGTTCAGCAGCTTAGAGATCTGGTAGAGAGTCTGGAACGTCTTACGAGCGGCGTTCACCTGGTGATTCACAGGCTCCGGCATGCTGACTCGCTTCCGGTCCTTTCTAAGAACAAGCAAAGCATACTCATGTTACAATAAATATTCTCTGATTTGTCATCATTTTTGGAATAAATTTGATTGTGCTCAGAAATTTTTTTTAAATATAAATAATTATTAATTTGTTAAATGTATATTTAATTAATGTATATTTAATTAAATGTATATTTAATAAATTAATTTATGTTCACATAATCATAAATTTACAATCCTTAATATAATATCCTTAATATAATAATTATATTAAAAATGTATATAA